TGGGTTTTTTTTTTAATTTATTTGAAAGAACTGATGTTTTAAAAATTGGCTTTAATTTAATTAAATTTCAAAAAATGCCACACAACCCACACAATCTTTACTGACATATGAAAGAAATGGTTCTTCATGTACAGTATTCTGATTGGATTCTCTAATGCATTCTTTAGTATCCTCCACAGAGCTTATTTTACCATTAAAATGCAGTTTTGACTCCACCAAATTGTTAAGACAAGTGGGAGGCAGCCCTCAATGTGTTCTGTGGGTTGGAAATTGGCCACAGAATCTTTTCCAAAGTTGCCCACACTTGCTGTAATACACAGAAGGCAGCATGGTTCATCTCCAGATGGTTTGCAGTAGAGCAAAGGTTTCTAGCCCCTGATCATTTAACAGTGACAAAATTGTATTTTCTTTTTTCTCCTAAATTATTGTACTCATATCAGGAGAGCTTTGGGAGACTGGAGGAGGAAGAAGACGACAGAATTCTATGGTAACTAGAACACACTGGGCTGTGGTGCAGAACTTCCAGCTTATGAGCTTAACCTGGCCAAGGATGCTATGCCTCTGGTTGTCAAAGGTTTGTTATATAAATTTCCCATCCAAAACTTCACTAATATATTCTCTAGAAACTACAATCTATAATAAGTTTGATTCGCAGAAGATTTCTCCACCAAGTCTGAAGGTTCTCCTCCCCACACACCACAGCCAGGTCACCAGATTCCCTGTGGAAGGGGCACGGAAGTCCATTTCCAAAGCACAGTAGGATCCAGCCCTCCATCTGTAATGGATTCACCTAATGGGTAGATGCTATTTGTGAGTTGCGAGTTGGCACCCTGCCTTCCACTGCTTACCCTACAGACAAAGAAAAGTCAAATGCTGTACTGACTTCTTTCTCATTGAAGTATTCTATGATTTGGTTGTTTTCATCTCTAGTGCTGTTCATTAGGGCTGCCCATCTCATTAGTAAACAGCAGGATACCCCTAACACTTGCAAGAGCTTTGGAAGTGATCTTTGACTTCCCATTTTCTTCTCAAATCAGGAGAAACCAGCTGTGACCTACAGTTAATGAGCTTGGCCTTTCCAAAGCGGACCACATTGACAGCCCAGTGGCTTGGCAACATTTCACAGCAGAGGTACTACATGGAAGTTTGTAAAATGAGCTGCTGTTAAGTATTTTCACATACTTTGCAACTATAAAAATAGTTAATGGAGCTAAAGAGTTGATTAGGATTAGCTTTGTGCCTGAATTAATAGCCAGTGCTAATTTAACTTTTAGAATAGGCCAAGCCATTTTCTCTCTAGCTGCACTGAGAACAAGACAAAGAAACTTTAAAATACAATTGTAATAGCAAAAGCAACAAAATCTAATAGAACAATTGCTGTTAATAATTACTATCATTTTACTCCACATCTATCCTATTCCTTGCTTCATTCTTATGGTATTGGATCTATACTAACACTGGCTGAAACCAATGGTCTGGTAGGGGGAAAATTATATAGAACCTGTACAGTAAAGGGATACAAATTGTTTTTCAACTCAAATTAAGGACATTTGACTTTGTCCAATGAAGACATAGCAGGATTAAAACAAACCAAAAAATACTTCTTCACAGAATACAAATTTTTGCAAGAGGAGGAAAAACAAATCCATGGAAACTACTCCTATTGTTAACTAATAGCCAGGACAGCCACAAATTCAGCATCCATTTTTGGTGTGTATAAGTATCTAGAAAGCTGCAACACAACCTCTTTTTAGCACTATTCATGTGTGAATATGACAGCTTTGTGTTGAAGATGAAGCAGTGCCACCCTGTCAGCCTGCCCTGACACTGCATTTCATCTCTGACATCTGTGAGCAGAGTGTGATGCCTCAATGCATGCACCACTGGGAAAGCCACACAATTGAGCATCCCAGCCAGGTGACTGCACCTGAGCAAGTCCTCACACTTTGAGGTTCCTTTGCAGACAACCTTCTGAACACGGAGATGTCAAAAGAAGATGCAACACTAGAGGAGGCTCTAACACTATGGCACAGCCCTGCTTCAACACAGGAATACCCTACACATGAGTAACATATGAACAAGGCTGTTGTCCTTCATAATACAAACTGAACATATGAAGGTGCCTTATACTGAGTTTGGTCCAATCATGCTTGATGAACATTGATCCCTTAAGGACAGTAATACCTTCTGGAAATGGCATTGGCTTCTCAAGGCACCAGGCAGAGCCCTTTTGAAACCTTAGAGCTGTGACCATTGAGAAGTTAACATTTAATTGGAGATGCCAAGGACTGAACAAGGCATCTTTGGCGTGCTGAGCATGTACTCTGCTGCTCAGTGATGGTTTGTTCTCGTCTATACATGGATCATTTTGTCCCCTTCAGCCAGACAACGCAAATATCCCTAGATTAAAATTGAGAGTGTGTGTGTGCGTGTGCGTGCGTGCGCATTTGTGATAGGAGACTAATACCTACAGTCTTTGAAAAAATGACAATGACCAGAGCATGGAAGTAAGTGAAGGAAGTAAAAAAAAATGACCACCTTGTGGACTGAGAACAGTTAAGGAAAATGGTGGCCACATGTCCTACGTTGCAGGCCACAGTTCTCTATCTGAAGGGTTGTCACAGGATAGTCCTCTGTTTGAAAAGAACTTTTGTTTAAGGTGCTGTCCTGCCCCAGTTAAGAAGCAAAGGAAGGAGGAACACCATCAACAGTTAGCACCTGGACAAAAATGTAAGAGTATAGGAACATAACATGCTGCCTTATGCTGAGTCAGACACTTGGCCTTTCTACCCCAATATTGTTAACACTGACTGCCAGCAGCTCTCCAGGATTTCCCGCAGGATTCTTTTCTAGTCCCATCTAGAGATGCCTGCAATCAAATCTTAGATCTTTTGCATGCAAAGCATGTGTGCTTACCATTAAGCTACAGGTCATCTGAAGAAGTGTCTGCATTTGTACACTGTATTAAATGCATACAAAATAAATTTCCCCACGTTTGTAAAAAATGGCAACAGATTTGTTATGGAATAAGCCAGTCTTCTCCAGCCTGGTTCCCTCTTCAGATGTGCTGAACTACAATACACTGAATCCCATGGGGGAGTGGACACTGTAGTTCAACACATCTGGAGAGAAGCAGGTTGGAAAAGGCCAGCATAATAGGTGCAGATCGTACTTCATCAGATGCAAGTAATGGCCTCTAGTCCTTGAAATTTAGGCTGTAATGAATCTGGTAGTGTTAGAAAAGGCCTGCTGCCCATACAGATCTTTGCTATAATTGCAAAAGGCAACCATTCACAAACTGTTTTCTGTGACCCAGATACCCTGGCAATGGTTAGACGCTGAACTCAAAGGGCTTTGGGTGGCTTGCCCTAGCAACAAGTAAAAGTAGAACGAGGCATGCCCTCCTGAACTATAGCTTATAGGAACCTGTGAAAACCTCAGGCCTCTCTACTACTGTTTGCTACCAGGCTGAAGCTGCCTAGCCTACCCACAGACATCAAGACAGGGGCCACTTAACCTAACCACAAATGTTAAAGAGGTAAGGTTGCAATTCGTTCTTGGAACTCTAGCCTGGGTACCTAGAAAATATCAGCCACAAACTTACCTTGATGTGACCCAGAATAGGCACAATTGGAATTAATGTTAGAATCATTTGTTAGTTTGGAAATATTCTGAAATGCACAGTTGTTAACCTATAGACTATACTATGGAAAGACCCCGACATGTGCAGTGAAAGCTGATTGTTAACTTGTAGACCAGTAGTTTCCAACCTTTGTACAGGCTGGGGACTGGTGAAAACAGGAAAACCACCTTGGGGACCGCTGAGGCAGAAACAAAAAGCACCATACACATAATACAGTATACTGTGTATTAGTTTCCAAACACAATACCAAGAAAGAGAGAGAGAGAGAATACTCCAGGAAAACCAGAAACTGAGCAACATTGGTGCAGTGTGGCTCCAACCGAGCTGTCTCTCCCCTCCCTGCCCCCCCCCGCAGCACCAGCGCACCCCCCCCCCGAAAGTGATGCCAACCGAGGAAGAGGTCTTGGGGCACAGCCACCCCCACCCCCGGCCAGGGAGGAAATTTCCCTGGAACGGCTGTTTGAAAACCACTGCTGTAAACTATAAGAGACCATGGCCAATCCTTCGCTTTCAGTCAGTTCCGCTTTGGGGCATGAGCCTCTGCTGACCTCTCTTGCATGCAAAATAAACAATTCAGATCTCATCTGGATGTTGCGTCCCTTTACCCCTGACAATCGAGAGCCTCCGAGAAAAAGACCCAAGGGCATTTTTGAAACTGTAGCCTTTAAAGTGCCACAAGCCGCCCTGTTGCTTTTACTACTGTACATGCAGTCCATGGTTTTTGTTTATTTTTTGTTTGTTTATTTGCCCTGATGTGGTGCATCGCTAGGCTGTAACTTAGATTGACAGCAGCTCTGCAGTACAGGCCGCCCTTAGGACTGCAGCTTTGGGACAGTAGTGCCGAGCCTGGGATTCAGCCAAACATCCCCTGTACAAGATACTCCTCAGCTCGCAGCAAAGAAAGATCGACCCCAGGTCTTCCCTCTGGCTCTCCCTCACAGCTCCGTTCCCGCAACATAGCTTAGCACTCCATTGACTTGTCAGCAGAAAAGTGTGTGTCTGGATATTTAAAACTAAAAAAAAAGCTTGAAGGATACGAAATCCTGCTTTTACGGCGACCGCTCGCTGGAAATGCGGGGAGAAAAGCGAATCTTTCCACAAAAATAGTTCCCAAAGTAAAACCCGGAAGCTTTACTCTATACGCGACTCTAGATTTTCAGGTCTATGCTTGATCAAGTCAACGCGAGGATTTGTTGAAGGGTTCGTGAAAGCCTTCCAGTGTTCATCTCCATCTGTCATTCAATTCGGCTTCTCCAATCATTAAACAAAGCGTTACCAAACAGCCAATCCTAGCAGAGAAAGGCGGAGCAAATCCAGCCCCTGATTGTCCTGCTGTCTCAACGAGTAGAGACGGAGCATGGACGTAACTCGAGGGTTAGAGAACTTCCCTGTAACTGTATGGCCGCAGTTCGAGCAGCCCCCGGGGTTTCAGGTAAGAGCAACCGAGCCAGCGTAATGGTATTCGGTAGGGTGCACGGGACGGTTGGAGACCTATGAGGAAATCCAGTGTGCGGACAACAGCCCCAAGGCGGCTGCTTTTTGGAACCGTGGGTGTTTTGCCGAAAGGAACGCTGGGAACTGTAGTTCTCGTGGAGAGCTGCGGTGTGTGCCGCTCTTCATCAAAACTGCATTGGATCGCGCCCTAAAATGAGCTTTATAGGAGGGGCTACCTGTCTCTGGCTTCTGAGGCGGGGAAAAGCCTACTTTTCCCCGTATGGGATTAAGGAGCGGGTGTTTCAAGCAGACGCCTCGCTTGTAACTAAAACAGCTCTTGAACGTTGCCTTTGCACGTTTGAGGGCTCAGGATCTACTTCATGGCAACCCCTCCCCCCGCCGCAGCTTCCTCTGGCCTTAAGTATCAGGAAAAAATGTATCTCTCACTTTTCACTCCAGAAAGGTCAGAAGAATACCGAGATTCAGCTCTCAATATTTTTACTTTCCTAAGAAAGTGATCATCCTCTGCATTTTTCGGTAGGAAAAGCGCCTACAGCTCCCAGCCGACCAGCCTCGTTGCGGAGGAATGCTGGGATTTGTAGGCCATTTCTATCTAAAGGTGCGTAGAAGCGCGCTAGCCCTTTATTCGTGTAGTTCTTTTGAAGTCTAATGTGTGCACACAAAATAATGAAACTTGTTGTTAAAGCAAAATAAGTAGCTGAATAAGAGGGAACTTCCATTCGAATGTAGAAGTTCTCTATTAGACCTTGAATCAACAGCAATTTCCATACGTGTATGTGGATGCTGTGTTGAATCCAGATTGAAGCTGGCAGGACCCTTCTGCACCCCTCTGCCCCATGGCAGAGCCTCCAATTACATGAAAATGCTGCGCAGAGGCAACGGACACTGCTGAATGGAGTGTCAGCTGTAGCATGTGGAGAAAGGAACCCCCTCCCCAGCAACCCTCCCCACAAAAAACGGGCAAAGGGTTCTTCCATGATCAGTGTGCATCCTCTTTCCAGAAGACCCTCTCACAGAAGGCAGATCCAACACATTATATATGAGAGAAATGTGCATTCTTTGAAATTTTGTCAGTTAGCTTTCCATAGGCAGAGGGGACTTCAAATTAATCCTGATGATCTTCTGGAATATGATAGTTTGAAACTGTCCAGCAGATAACAGATTTTAAACATGACTTACTAACAGCTGGATCTTATGCATATAGAGATGCATTTAAGCCCACTGAGTTCAATCAACTTCAGTATACTATACAGTACACTGTATATCATTGAGTGGTACATGTGTAAGGTTTAATTGTCATTGAAACATAGTTCAAACAAATAAATATCTAAAATCTGTTTCACATAGAATAATATTACACTATTGCATCCTAATCCTAAACATTTTTACACAGAAGTACTTGAGCTCATTGGTGCCAGTTTGATGTCCATATTACATTTTTAGTTTAGGTGTACCTTTCCCAACCTGGTGTCATCTAGATATCTGGGACAGCCATTACCAGCCAGCATGGATGTTGTAGTCCAACATACTGGGAGGGTACCAGCTTAGGAAAGGTGGATTAGGTCATTAAGAATAGCTTTTGCACTGTGGTTTGAAAATCAGACCTGCTGTTTCTGACACATCTCTTGTGACTTGGACAGGAGGATGAAAGGAAGAAGGTGAACCTTTTTGCATCGCTACATCTCGTTTAAATTCTGCCTATTGTGCAAATGTGAAAGGGGCATCTGAAACATCACTGCATAAAAAAGACTAGAATCTTTTGGTTCTCAAAGGTAGTACTAGATGATTTTGCAATATCAGTTATATCCATTAGAGGTCACTAGAGTTATTAATTTCATATATATTGTGCAGCTATGCTTTATTCCAGGGTTTTGGAGATATGTTATTTATTTTCATTTAATTTAGGAAGGAGAAGACAGAACAAATAAAGGACAAGACATCTAAGAAAATAATCCCCTTTTCAAAGTCAACATAACCCCTTCTAGAATCTCGTACATGATGGGCCAAATCAGCCTGCTTTTCTTCTGATTTATACTTGCACAGTATCAAAGTTAAGGTGTCTTTCCAAAAATGAATTCTTAAAATATGAAGTTCCCACCCATTGCTGATATGCAAGCAAGTAGCACATCTAGTCAGCATTGCTAAAGTAGATTGGTTGAGATAGTGATTTTCCTAAGCTTATGCCAGCCTATTCCTTTATTATTTATACAGTGCTATTATATGCCTTTGAATTGTGATGCTGGAGGAGACTCCTGTGAGTCCCTTGGACCACAAGGTGATCAAACCGGTCAGTCCTAGAGGAGATCAACCCTGACTGCTCTTTAGAAGGCCAGATCCTGAAGATGAATCTCAAATACTTTGGCCACCTAATGAGAATTAGGTCAATTATCTTCCTCTTCCCCTCAGGTACAGGCTGCATGTCATTCCCAGTCTCTGCCTTTTCTTCCCCTGATTCCTCTCTCCGTAAAACCCCACCGTGCCTGGGAAGCTCCGAAATGGGTCCCAAGAGAGGGCCGAGCAGGGGGCAGCCTGAGCTGGAGACCTTCCCGATGCCACATTGCATACCTAGGGGAAACATCTCAGGAGCATGTGGGAGCAGGAGGCCCGAGGTGTTCCTCAGGCCACACACACCTAGCCCACCGCCAGAACCTTGGGGAGCTCCTCAGAGCTGCCCGGCTGACCCTGTTCATGCAACAGGAGGCGCACCAGAGGACCTCCCACCGCATCCAGGATGCGGACTTCTCTCCTGCAGCCGAACGATGGGCGGCAGGGGTCGGGGCTCCATTTCTGCACATCACATCCCTGGAGAAGAGCCTGATGCTGGGAACAATAGATGGCAAAAGAAGAAGGGGAAGGCAGAGAATGAGGTGGCTGGATGGAGTCACTGAAGCAGTTGGTGTGAGCTTAAGTGACTCCGGGGGATGGTGGAGAACAGGAAGGCCTGGAGGAGTGTTGTCCATGGGGTCACGATGGGCCGGACACGACTTCGCGACTAACAACAACAATTATTATTAGATTTATATCCCACTTTTTTCTTACCACAAACTCAAAGTGGCTTATATAATTCTCTTCCTCCTACTTTCAACCTCAACCATGTGAGGTGGGTTGGCTGAAAGCCTGTGACTCTCCCAAAGTCACCTAGTTGCCTCTGGCTGAACAGGTACTAGAATCCAATCGTCTGAGCCCCAGTCCCTGATTTGTTCTTGGTTTATGACTCAAGCTTGACTGTTGGGAGACAACCCCCAGTTCCCAGTTCACACAGTATGATAAACCACAGAGTGAATTTCTGCAAGAGGAGCTAAGCAGGAGCAATCAAGCAGCAGTCTGTCTCATTCACCATAAACCAGGATTTTTAGATGAATAAATGAAAAGTGCAGCAAAATTAGTAATAGTTCCTTTCTGCTAATATGAGTGTTTATATGAGACCATATGCTATAACCCTGGGTATGTTTATTGGGACTTCTCTAAACATATACAGGAGAGAATTGTTACATATTTTTAAATTTTTCTCTCTGTGACAGCAAAGTCTTGGGGTGGAAGATTAATTACACTGTAAGGCTGAGGTTTCACTTTTCTTCCTTTCATTTGGTCACAGCTGTTTTTGGTGAAAACAAAACAAGACACACCAACTCAAAGATTGGAGCTATTTGATTTTTTTTAAGTAGCTATGATAACTTTAGAATAGCCTGGTGACAGTATGATTAATTAACAAGGTTCTAATATATGTAGAGTAAAACAATATATTCATGCGGATGTAATCAGGAGTGCTTTACTCTTTCCCCATCTGCTTCTTTCTTTGTTCCATTATGTGGACAAATTGCAACTTACTTTCATGTTTTTCTCCTATTCTTAAGGGATGGGTTTGTCATCCAAAGTGTGCTGAGTCATGAGAGCTGGTCACTTGAGATAAAAATAGAAGTGTAGGATTTGTGTGAGCTGGCAGAATCGCTTTATCCTTTGGTTAATGAACTGCTATAATGGTATTACATTATTAGCCCATGTGGACTAGCACCTGCATTGTAGGAAACAGCTGTCAGCAGAAATTCTCTGGTGAACAAGCAAAAAAGAAATTTTGCTCCTCAAAAAGTGGGGGGTGGGGTTAGAAAATTATTTGGATATATACACTTGTCCCAGTCTGTCACCTAAGCAATGAATTGATCTTGTTTCAAAAAGATGTGCAAAGTTGATCTCATATTTTTGTCTATTCCTGGAACAGTATTTTTCATGGGGGTTTTTAACATATTTTTTAATGTTTCCCTGTAGCATAAACAGTTCAAAATCCATCTATCTCATCTCTATTATCCCTTTCTGTTTCCAAAGTTTCCTCATCCAATCTTTGTACATTTTCATTTTAGAAAATAGTTACATAAAGCAATTAAATTGTTATCTAGAAACATGAATGAATTGAATTTAGCATTGGGCATGTCACTGTATCAGATTACAGTGATGGTGTCCAAGTTCCAAAATATATATTAAAGATCAGTTGACTGCCGTATTGTGTGTGTGTGGGCGCGTGCATGCAAGCATATGATATATTGTCCCTTCATGTAGCATGTATTAGCCATGGCAGTGATTTCTTCCATTTTGTGTTGCAGTATAGCCCAGACCATGTGACTAGAGTTGGAGATGGACCAGACCCATCTGAGATCTCCTTTCCTGGATGCAGCTGTCATTCTACTTCCTGCTCAGCTTCCATGTGCTCCTGCCTTCATTATGGAGACAATTATAACAATTCATGCATTATCCGTGAAGGAAATGAACTGGATTTTTCAAAGCCTATTTTTGAATGCAACACCATGTGCCATTGCGGAGAGTTGTGCCAAAACAGAGTGATTCAAAGGGGCTTGCAATTCAGACTTGAAGTCTTCAAGACCACAAAGAAGGGATGGGGTCTTCGCACTCTGGAGTTCATACCAAAAGGAAGGTTTGTGTGTGAATATGCTGGGGAAATCCTAGATTTCAAAGAAGCATGTAGAAGAATACAGTTGCAGACATCGAGTGACTCGAACTACATTATAGCAGTAAGGGAGCACTTGCATGATGAGCAGGTGCTAGAGACATTTGTTGATCCTACATATATAGGGAATGTTGGTAGGTTCCTGAACCATTCCTGCGAACCAAACCTCTTTATGGCCCCTGTCCGAATAGACTCAATGGTGCCGAAGTTGGCTCTCTTCGCCAACTGTGATATTTGTGCAAATGAAGAACTTACCTATGATTATTCTGGAAGATATGGCAATTACTTACCTGTCAAATATCAAGAGAAGCTGCAAAAAGAAGATTCTAAGAAGCCTTGTTACTGTGGAACTAAATTGTGTACAGGTTTCTTGCCATATGATAGTTCTTTATTTTACAAAGACAACACAGGAAACAGCCCTAAAGAAAAACTATGAAAATATATGCCATGGTGATGCATTGCTATCTACCTTGTGATGCTTACAAAAAGTCTGGATGCTTCTTTTCTCATGTACATTTGGATCTATCTTCCCAATCCAGGGCCACTTGTGTGACCAATTGATCACAAGTAGAGCCAGATCAGAAGCTCTTTTATGAGCATTAATGGAATTCCAAAATGGTTTGCTGTAGAAAAAATGCTTACCATATTTATACCCTGGTCACAAATACATCTAACAAAAAGCAAAGTCCATTCATTCCATTGAAACTTACTTTCAAAAAAGGATAATTGAGAGTGCTTACATATAATTAGCAACACTGTTGCCTGTACACAAAAGTCGATTATCCGTATTCCAGTGATATGAGGATAAAAGCATGGAGACGTTATGGGTCGAGTTTTAATCAGAAGAAAATCTACTGATGTAAGAATAGTGATCTCTTCTCTTCTCTTCTCTTCTCTTCTCTTCTCTTCTCTTCTCTTCTCTGTCTCTGTCTCTGTCTCTGTCTCTGTCTCTGTGTTATCAATAACATGGACTTAAGCTTCTCTCATGCCAGTCCATTTTTCAAAAACACATTGTTTTTGTTTGCTTGTCTTTAGAAGTCAAACTGCGTTTGCTTCCCCGTGATGTTCCTAATTACTGTTCAGTAGGGCAGTGGAGCCAGTGTCTTATTGCCATTATACAAATCTGTGGTGCAACAAACTCTGAATACCAGGAATGCAGGTCTGGCAAGCAGCTTTCCAAACAGCTGCTGTGCAGTTGGAAATGGGGCAGAAAAGGCTGACCAGAACAATAAAAAATCTGGAGCAGCTAGCTAATGATGAAAGATTACAACACCTGGAGCTTTTTGGAGTCAAGAAAGAGGCATATTTAAAAACTCAAGGTATGGACTAGGCAGATCTGTTTGTCCCTCTCATACTACTAGAACCCATGTTCATCCCATGAAGCTCTTAGTGGGAGAATCAGGACAGATAAAAGAAATGACTGCCTTACAAAGTATATAGTAAAACCGTGGAATTCAGTATAACTAGGTAAGGTGGCCATCCAGTTGGATAGCTTTAGGATTAGTCAAATTCATGGAGGATAAGGCTACTAGTCATGGCTACTCACTTCCTTTATTATCATTACCACAGGCAGCATAGTCATTGGGAAATACGAAGGAGAAGGTGATAGTGCACTAGTAGCCTGGTTTTTGGCTTCCCATAGGTACCTGGGTGGCTGTTGTGGGAAGAGAACGTTCAGCTAGACAGATCTTCGGTATAATCCAACACCGTTCCGCTTTTATTCTTTTTCCATGCTCTGCCTTTACCGTTTCTTGCCTTCATGGTACATGGACGTGACACTGAGGCTCCCTTCATATTGTTATCCATCTTCCTGATTTTATTCTGTGTGCTGGCTCTTTGAATCTTATCTAATTAGATAGCCTGCACTACAGCTAATACCCTGAAGTTGGTGCCAAATACATTAGATTGTAATAGTATTTTTCAAATATATATTTCACCCAGTCCTCTTCATCACTCTGGAAGCAGAGTAGAAAAATAGATATAAGTAGAAGCATTACTGTTAAGTTTCAGAATATGAGGGCACTTTTAGTTATTTTTAGGAAGTGAAATACTAACTCCCAACCAATTTATATGAAACCTCATGTCTCTGAACTATTCAAACCTGCTTTCAATAAAAACTGGGAAGTCTATTTTCCTCTGCTGCAAATTTTTCAGTCTGACTTGGAAGCCGCAAGAAGCTGTGACTGTTTTCCATCCAAGATGTTCAGATAGCCATCTGTTAGCACATCTAGCTTTTTCTAATATTACACAAAGGTTTGTTATGAACTGGCAAAAATGTGAAAAGTATAAATATTATAGAATAACGCCTATATTATAATGACTATTCCAAACCAATAAAAAGCAAATCATAGCAATAGTCCCACAAACTGCATTATCTGTAGCAAACCTGCAGATCGTTTCTACACTAGAACCCACTAGCATTAAATGGCATTTCCTCACAAGAGATGTATTTGCTCCCTGTGTGTCCCGGACATGCAATCCTAGCTGTTAGGGCTTCCCACTCGGGACCTTCTGGTGCTGCCCGGGGGCACATAGGATCATTCTGAGCCCCAGCAGCTTCGGAGCCGTGCTGCCAGGGGCTCACACTGTCCCGATTACACCTGGGGCCGAAAGAAACATGCTGGGCGCAGGGAGCTAGGGCCTACTACAGATGACATTTCCTACCAGGGCCCCAAACCCTTCCTGTTCCCCTTTCCCAGTGCTTCATCTAAACAAAAGTGACCATTGAGATTAAATACACAGAACAAGTCTCTGCAGTAGAGATTACTGCTTTCATGCCTTACTCTGTGCACTGGGTGCACATCAACCTCCACGTTTGAAGGTTTATGTGCATTGTGCCCTTACTGGTCTTAGGTATAAATGTAGTGACTAATCAATTTGCACCATACTAGTGATGGCAAGAAAGCAACTGGAGTTCTGAACTTTTCCCAGTAATTCCGCCTGCCATGGGAGGGCTTCTGCCCTGAAAGACGTTTTAGAAGTATTTTAAATTAAAGGCTATTTTCTAAAATCTTGTTGACATAATTCAATTTTTTAAAGATGATAGGAACACACGAGCAACAAAGTGTTACTGAGAGGAGGAATCTATTACATATTTGATATTTTCAGAAGAGATGTGTGAGAATGGAGTCATTTCAAAACGAAATACCATGAAATAAAATATTGCTTGAATCCTGTGCAAGCTTAGACAGAAAAAGGCCCGTTGTTCTTAGCATGGCCCAACTCTGTATTGCCCCTTACACTTGCCAGACTTTGGGCCACTGGGCTTACACTTGCCAGACTTTGGGCCAGTCACCAGACGACCTTGAGTGTTCTGCTTACTCTGCCCTGCCCTGCTCATGAGCACTACATGTAGTCAGAAAAGAAATGCCTCGTGTATCAGTGGAGGCACTCCACAGGACTGAAAACTGGTTTTTCCAGGATCCTGACTCGTGTGTAGAGGCTGCACAAATGTAAGAGTTGCTCCTGTTCAGATTGTCACCATGTGGAACAGAGCAACACCTTTCTTCATACCTTATTTCAGCACAATAAATGAGAGCAACTGATTTGCGTCCTACGTCAGGATGAAATGGAAAGGTGAGGACCTGACTATAATAAAACACACTATTAATATCACAATAAAAATCAAGTTAACAAGCAATTTCACAACTAGCTTTATTCCAGGCTCTTATTGCATCAATAGATTAGTTGATCATAAGCATAATTAGACTGTTCATACTCTTAAGATATAAGTTCTCTCAGAAGATGGTAGGAGGAATCCTCATAAGTGGCATTTTCCAAGAGTTGTGCTCCTGCTTTCATTGGCTGACGCTGCCTGTCTTGGCCTCGGCAAAAAATTAAACCACCCATGGCCACTTCCAAGGGGCAGCCATCTTATTATTTTTTAAGCTATGTGACCACCAAGTTATGTGACCACAATGCACCCTTTCCTGAGAAAATTTCCAGTTGAGAAAGTCCGTGTCAAGAGCTGTACTTCCTAGCTGCTTGGGGAGATACTTACTTTTAAAGAAGTTGAAGGAAAGAAGGATGGGGGAGTTTTGAAGTCCCCAGGCTGCTTCATGTGAGTGTACGCTTAGATTTGAAGATACTTTGATATCTTGTAGCAACAGAACTTTCATGTGAGGTGAACAAGATAGAAATTCTAATGGAGTCTTTACTCCCGGGCAGAGTACTCCAACTGCTAGAAAAATACAATTCTCCTGCAACAGCAATTCTGTTCTTCAAAAGGTCATATTCTCTTGTATAATAAATTTGCAACAACCCCACGTTTCAGTTTCAAACGGAAAAGCCCGTAATCATGAACTGAAAGCCAAAATCAAAGAACCTATTAACAGGGGAAAAGAATGAGGATGTTAATTTCCATTTTGTTCTCTTTGACTATAGGTGGTGTTCTTATTGTCAGCATTTGACAAGTTTATTTTCCCCATTACTCTCTTGGCAAGACCAGTTTGAAAAATCCTCTGTGCAGCTGACAGATGAAGGCATTAGCTAATCTTATCATAACACTGCAGCTACTGTTGCCTTTTCAGGAGCCTTTGAAATAGCCTGAAATCCACTGCCCTGCAAAGTGCTTTCTCATCATTTTATATATTTGCGTGTGTGTATTGTTTTCTTAAATTGGAGCCCATTCAGACAATAGCCACTTTTTGGGAGGGACCATTTCCCATTTTAAAAAGGGAATGGTCATTTAGAATATAATTTGCAATGGATTAAGTGTCTAATTTCTGGGAAGCAGCATACACACAGAGCTTGCATTATTATTACAGGCTGTCCAGCAGTATTCATGCTGTTAACTTGGAATTTGCTTGTCTCAAATCAGCCATAAAATTCACTGGGTAACCTTGGGCCATTCATGGACTCTCAACCAAATCTGCATCAGGATAAAATGGAGGGGACAGAAGAATGAAGATGTAATGTAAGCGATCCTGGGTTCCTCCAAAGAGGAAGAATGGGGGTATAAAAGTAATAATATTATTATATTGTAGCAAAGGCTGTATGTAGTAAGTAAATGGCAACCCTGTGTTGGCCACATGCGGTGCTTTGGATAGTCTAATTAAACAGCAACAGCCCCAGCATTACCATGCATTTGACTTGAAACTCTTGAGGACTTACTGAGAACTAAACCTCAATGTACTTTCTAGATGACAGGTAGATGAGACCAGAGACTTCTACTACCTGCAAAGCAGTAGAAATCAGTCCATATCAACAAGTACACAAGACTGCAAAAAGCTAATCAGAAGCTCTTGGGCCTAATTTCAATTAACCAGTGTGGGTTGGCATACCAAGGGGAAAGTCATGTCCCTGCTCCTTCCACCATGCAAAACACTTGGATGGGTAATTTGGCCTTGGAGTGGGAGGATACTGCATATGCTGGCAGAGAATGCTTACTCTCCCACTCCCCAAAATCCCATCTCCGGGGTCACTCTTGAGACAGCAGGCACAGTGCTTTCTGTGCTGGCTGTGAGAGCAAATGGGGGCAAGGCGTTCCAAGTTCAGAGTCCCAGCTTCAATTGTGTAAGCTTTTGATGTTGGAGCTAGGACTGCAAATTATCCTGTGGCCATTTAGGCTCTGTCTAAACACAAAATGGCTGCTGCACCACAGGTGCATGGCCATTGATAAAAGGACTATCCTGGGAGACCTGCTTTGTCACAAAATGCTCATTTCCCAGAAGGCAAATGGGTAAGGCTAAATCTTTTTCTCTCACTTGCTCTCTTTCTCTCTCCGAGAACCTAAATACAAGGCAGGAGTCAGTGCTCCGAACTGCAAAATCACTCTTTAGAATCCAGATAAAAATGGCTCTGGAGGGCAGCAGTTCAATTTGAACAATGCCAGCTTCTCAGCTTAAAGAAAAATCTTAGGAATAAAAATAAAAACCAGAAAAGACAGGGAGCCCC